GAAAAAATATATATACATTGCATTCCCTTATCATTTATATAATGCTTGAAAACACACCAAATAATGTTATATATATGTGTGTGTGTGCGTGTGTGTATATATATATGTTTTATAGCATAATTATATATATATAGTGTGTATGTATGTGTAGAAATATTAAAAAATATGCAAGATTGACAAACACTAATATTGTGGCAGTGGTTCCCTCTGGAGGGAAATGGTTATCCGGAAGCTTCAACTCTACCTTCACTGTTTTATTTCTTTTATGAACTATGCATAACAAATCTGACAGAGCCAATTGGTATTCAACATTTAATTATGTATTTTTGAATATTTGAAACATTTCATAATAAATATAAAAATAGTTTCTACATTAACTATGTCTATAAGGAAATTAAGCCTTTTCTTTGTTCTTTATTACTGATATAAAACACAAATAATAAAATTATTTTATTATTTTTTGTCACCGTTAGCTTACATTTGTGTAGAGTTTAATAGTAGACATATTTCTTCTAATGACCTACTTTTTTCCCATGTGATTGTTTCGTTTTTTTTTTTTTCTTTTGTTCCCTTTATTTATTTTAGAGAGAGAGAAAGGAAGAGGGAGAGAGAGATAGAAACATCGATGAGAGAGAACATCGACTGGCCACCTCCTGCATGCCCCCCAATGGGGGTTGGGCCCACAACCTGAGCAAGTGCCCTGACTGGGAATCGAACCAGTGACCTCTTGGTGCATGGGTCAACGCTCAACCACAGAGCCACACCGGCCGGACATGATTGTTTCTTTTAAGATAAGAAATCTACATTAAAGAAGTTGAACCAGCCAGGAATGTGATAGGCAGAGGTTAAAGTCCAATTTCCAAAGTTAGGATTCCTCCAGTTGAAAGAGATATTCATACAGTATCTTTCACATACAAGGATGTCATTTCTAGCTCAATTAAGGGTGTATTTGACATGTCTATTAATTTGCATAAATCCATACACAATAAATTGTAACATCTTGCCATTTCTATAACCAAACTATTCCTAAATTTTAAAAAATGAATACCTACTTTTCTCTACATTAACTAAACCTTTTCTCAATATTTTGTTTCCACCATAACGGCTTATATGGTTTACAATGCCTCTTAAATGAGTGGGCAGCAGAGCAGCTGATGTTTGTGATGAAAACAGTGGCCATGGCATCCAGAGAGTCTGCTGGCGTCCAATTCATGGCCGAACAACTGAGGAACAGCACACACCAGAAAGCATTCTGTCTCATGCTTCATGCTTTGGAGAGCTCTGAGTACCAGTTTTAGGCATAAAAGGGAATGTGCTTAGTAGCTTTATTAAATGAAACATATACTTAAATATACATATACATATTAGACTGAATAGTATAAGACAGTCCATGAAATTAATAAAGTACATTCTTTTAGTCTTGACCTTTTTTCTACTAAATATTTCAAGGTCTTACAAATTCAAAGAAATTTGCCTGCTTACTTATTTCAAAGATTAATACTGTATTTTCAAAGCATAGGTTATGTTTCATTCTCATTTTTCACATTTTTTCATTCCCCTGTCTGATCTATGAACAGAGCTTCCGTTAGATAAAGAACTTCTGGTTTTTGTGCTTAATTCCCTAATCCAATTGGCCATCTTGACTCTTTTCTATGCCATTAAGGATTCCCTGTATTTGGAAAGGTATAGTAAAAGATATGCTATTGATCTTCCAGGCTTCATCATTTAATATTTGTAAATCCTATATGTCAAGTAGAAAATATCTTTAGAGATAACTGTACCCCTATTATTCATGGTAACCAAGACATGGCTACAACCTAAGTGTCCTCTGATGGATAATTGGATAACGGAGATGTGGTACATATATACAATGGAATACTATTCAGCCATAAGGAAAAATGAAATACTGCCATTTGCGACAACATGGATGAATCTTGAGAGTATTACGCTGAGCAAAATAAGTCAGATGGAAAAGGACGGGAACCATATGGTTCCATTCATCTGCTGGACATAAAACAGAAAGCAACAAACAAACAAGCAAAACAAACTCATAGACACAGACAACAGTATGGTGGTTACCAGAGAGTAAAGTGGGTTAAATATGTGGTGAGAGGAGACTAGACTTTGGGTGGTGAGCACACTATGCAACATGCTTGTTAGAGCTATCTAACGGAAGCTCCGTTCATAGGTCATGTATTAAGAATGTATTATAGATGTATTATAGAATGTACACTTGAAACTTATATAATGTTATTAATCAATATCGTCCCAATAAATTAAAATTTTAAAATTCATAATTACATGTTGGAAAATATTAAAATAAAGAAAATATCTGTAGAATATAGGTATAAAAAACAAGGACATTCCTAGGTAAATGTAGTTGAGAACCATCCCAAATCTCAAAGACAAGCATGACATTTACAACTTAGAAAAATATCATTTGAATAATAGGTAATTGGTGACAATAAAACAAGTAGTAGACAAGTGGGTAGCAGTAATATTAACAGTTACACACCCCTTAATACATTCTATTTAGTAAATCGGGTTAGCCCCAGTGTTTAACTCATAATTCATTGATTAATTCCTTTTTCTACTATCAATTGCAACAATTATATATATGTAGTATATGTAGCAATATTCTTAAATATGCATTTGGACATGAATTTGAAAACCTTACTAATTATTAATTTTATTTGAAGTCTAAAATCAGTATATAAAACAATGCTAACACTTATGCCTAATTTTTTTTTTCTTTTTATCTGCTAAGTCCCAATTCCTTGTGACTGTTAAAATTATTTTTGCATTTAAACCAAAACAGGAGCAACTGAACTCCACTTTCAATTAATATTTATTTTTATAAATTTTTACCTACACTCAGTAAAAAAAAACAAACAACTTTTCAGGTCCAAAGTCTCCAAGGATAAAAAGAAAGAATTTAAAATACTTTCATATATATTGAGATTGTCCTAGTATTCTTTAAAAGCCTTTAAATTCCTTCTCCGATGTTTCTCTCCTAAAATCTCAGAGAATTAACAACACAATGTAATCTAGCTTTGAATTTGGGTTCCTCCTGTGTGTAAGATATTTATGTTTGAGGTTTCCCTCCGGGACAAGCCACTTAAAGAGTCACTGTTACTTTGAGGTTTTATCTATGAGATTTGAGTCTTTGGGGCTCATTAAGGACATTTACAAAGATTACAATGTCAATAGCACCTAATTTCTGGACTGTGAGAAAGGTCCTCTTGAGTACATAAAATCCATGGCCGTGCACAGTACACAATGGGCAGCTCAGATCCCAAATTTTATCACCCTTAAGTAGCAAACAAATTAATAATGTTACATGGGCTCTCTTGGGATAATTACGACTAAGTAAAAAAGTGCTTTGAAATTTTGTAGATAGCATTGTATCTCATTTTTTATTCCCTTTGATTAACAAAGATTTATTTATCACTTTATCTCTTTTTCTGTGTTGTGTGACTCTCCCTTGTTCTCTTTAAAGTTTTTTGGATTAAAACTTACAACATAACAGAAAGTTATTTTCAATCTGTTTAGGAAAGATTATTACCAGATATAATGTTGTTTTAGAAATATTCTATGTTTTATTTCACTCTTTGCATAGTTACTATATGTTTTAATACTAATGATGGGTTTTATTTGTATACTTACACCTGGTAGAAAATTAGTTACTAAAGAACTAATGGAGAGAGTAGCTCTTTTAAATCCTCAGCCTACTGCTTAGGTCATTATGACTGTCATTTGGCAGTTAAAACATAGACTTTATTTTGGGGAGCAAGGGTTCTACTACCAACAGCTCAGGAGGAAAGGCGAGGGGTCAACTAGGCACGTTACGTGTCATCTCATTTAATCCCCATCATGCTATGAGGTGAGGTCACCATCTCCATTTTACCTAGCAGAGAAAATTGAGATGAAGTTACCCAGAGAATAGGGGACTGGAACTTAGATGGGAACCAAAGTCTGTCCACCTCCGAGGCCTTTCTGTTACATCACGTTACCCACTGTATTGTTGGAAATGGGACAACATGTCTGCATAAGTCTTGCAGTGTAGCAGGGATTACAAGCTGGGGCTCTGGGGTGACACTCTTTGGGTTTGAATTTAAGCTGCTCCACTCATTTGTGTTGTAACCCTGGCAGTTTACTAAACCCCCTTTTATCCAATTACGTCCTCTATAAATTGGGGAAAAGCAAGAGTGCTAATCTCTTAAAGTTTTAGGAGGACTAAATTTACAACTTGAAAGGCATTTAGAATAGGACCTATTCTCACTAAAGGTCAGCTATACACATTTTGTTTTTAAGTATCTTGTTAGGCCCTGGTCGGGTAGCTCAGTTGATTAGAGGATCATCTTGATACACCAAGATTGTGGGTTCAATCCCTAGTCAGGTCACATACAAGAAACAACCAACGGCTTGGCCACTGTGGCTCAGTTGGTTGGGTGTTATTTGGTGCACCAAAAGGTTGCTGGTTCAATTCCCAGTAGGAGGTGTGCAGGAAGCAGCCCGTGAATGTTTCTCTCTCACATTGATATTTCTCTCTCTCTCTCTCTCCCTCTCCCTTCTTCTCTCTCCAAAAACCAACAAGCATATATATATTTTTAAAAGAAACAACCAATGAATGCATAAATAAGCGGAACAACAAGTCAATGTTTCTCTCTCCCTTTCCCTTTCTCTCTCAGATCAATCAATAAATTAAAAAATTGAAAAATAAAATAAAAATAAAAGTATTGCCCGGCCTGTTGTGGCTCAGTGGTTGAGCGTCAACCCATGCACCAAAAGGCTGCCAGTTCGATTCCCGGTCAGGGCACATGCCCGGGTTGTAGGCCCGATCCCCAGTGTGGGGCATGCAGGAGGCGGCTAATCAACGTTCTCTCTCATTGATGTTTCTCTCTCTCTTTCCCTTTCCCTTCCTCTCTCTAAAAATTAATAAAGAAAAATAAATAAATAAATAAAAGTATCTTGTGATATGAAAGTGAAGTTTAAGAATCTCAATCTTTGATGCGACACTGAAGATGCTGTAACAGGAAAAATAAAAATCCAACAGGGCATTTTAAACATTAATATTCTAGCCCTGGCCAGTGGCTCGGTTGGAGCATCGTCTTGTACACCAAAACCATTTATTCCACACAAAAAAAACAATTAAAAGGTTGCAGTTTAGATCCCTGGACGGAGCACATACAGGAGGCAACCAATAAATGTTTCTCTCTTGTTCTCTCCCTTCCTCTGTCTCTGAACATCAATAAAAACATGTCCGCGGGTGAGATTTTTAAAAATAAATAAAATATTAATACTTTATTTGCATATTCTAAAAAATAGAACTCAATACAACAGTGACTTTAAAACTTTAAAGAGCTTAATTTGTCTTCTGTCATCAGATGGGTTACAGTACTCCCCCCCCCCCCCGCCATGTTATAAACAGTAACGAAGATTTGTCTCTAAGTCAGGAATGTACTAACCATGTAACTAACACCTCTTTAATAATGTATTTGTGAATTAGTGGTTAAAAACACCAATAACGTATTAAATTATTTCTTAGGGGACTGAAAGGAGGTGGTTCTCAATCTTCTGAAATATCTGAGAAGCTTAGAGTGACTTGTTTTGTGAAGACAACTTGGTTCTTTGAATGCCTAATGTAACTACCATGCAGTCGCCATAACCATTGAAAGCTCTACTTTCTAACGAAAAGATTCATTCACCCCCCAAATTGGTAAATTTGTAATTCATTTATTCCACAAAGTAGTAAAGTTATCATAAAAATGCCTCTGGCATTCATTTCCTTGTTTTTATTTATTAAAAACAACAACAAAAAAATCATTTTTAATGAACTTTGGATTAACTGGAACCCAGTTAACCAGAAACTTGTTAACTGGGTTATTTCCTCCACCTTCAGAGGGGAGAACAAGACCTATCAAAGTTGCATGTGAGCTGTAATGGAAAGGAATGTCAGGGCTATGTTCAGAGGCCTGTGGCATGAACTTGTCCCCATGTCTTCTCTGCAATGCAGATTCATATTCAGCTTGGTGGCATACTGCAAAATTATGGATCATAAAGACTTTTACTTCAGTTTAATTAGTAAGGCAAAAAGTGGACGAGTGCATTTTAGGAGGTTTGAGTCGACAGGGCGGAAATAAGCCCACCTTCTGCATTTTCAGGACTGAGGACCGGGAGTGACATTTGTTTCGGCTGTCCATGTATACTCGTCAAATGGACCTTTGAAAAATGGTTTGCTTGGTTGAAGAAAATCAATTTTGGGTGCAAACTCCTCAACTGAAATTTTTGCGGGATGAAATGCTGCTGTTAAATTAAACTCTGTAATTAAAATTTCAGGCCAACCACAGGTTACAAATCCACGAGCTATATTTTCATGATAAATCATGAGAGTCTCTCCTCTCCTAATGCATTACAATGCTTGAGGATTAACTTACTGTATGATTGGAGTTTCCAGCAACTCAACAGATCTAACCACTTATTTAAATGCTAATACCCTTGCCCTGGCCTGTTTGGCTCAGCAGTTGGAGCATTAGCCCGAGGACTAAAGAGTCCTGGATTTGGTTCCCGCTAGGGGCATGTACCAAGATAAATAGATAAATAAATAGATAAATAAATGAATAAATAAATAAATGCTAATACCCTTAAAAGGCAGTGGCCGTGCACCAGAGTCTAGTCTGAGCCTCACTGTGACCTCAGTGCCAGCCCAGGGGCAGGCAGCACTCGGCGGCTGGATCTGCACCCAGGACAGGCCCCTCTGGAGCACACTCTGCAGACACAGACATGCACAAGAAGAGCCTCATGCTCGTGGAGGCCCGGGAGAGAGGTTCTTCTCTGCAAAGATCAATCTAGCTTGCAAAAAGTAGATTTTTAAATTGGAGTCCAGGACTTAAATTCATATCATACACTTCTCCCTTGTATAAAGATTTATTATAAAAGTGTATTTTTAAACACTCCCAGACATGAAAAATAAAAATTACTGACACTCTTTGGTTATCATCAATAGTAATAATTCAGACTAATGTCATAGTTTGATCATCTAACTTGTTTAGGAGAGCCCACTAATAGCTTTAAATCATGAATTTCTTTAATTTTACTTAATCATCCTGCCACTCAACACCCTCAGCTGGACTGCTTATAACATCGACAATTAAAGAAAAAGGTGATAAGGAGGGTTTGTAGTTTGGTTTCCAAGTTTAAATAAAAGGAAGTATGGTTGTATCCCCAAAGATTTATAGAAACTTATGTACAAAACATACTTCCAGTTTCAAAAGACTCCAATTTGAAACCCTGTAAGGACTGAGGGGAGACAAAGTATGCTAGAAATATTTATACTTTTAAAAAAGTATTAAGTTGGAAAAATAGGAATTTAACTGGAGCATTAGGTTGGTGGGCAGTTAACTAATAAAAAAGAAACAGGATACCAATTGAGACAGTTTATAGTTTTGAAGTATGACTAATATGATGTTCAACTAACAGCAATCAATATCCAGAAATACATACTAGCATTTTTTATTCAGCCTATCTATGTATTAGTTTTACAAATTGTCTGAAAAAAGTCATACATTCACCCAGAATACTAAACACCACAGGATAAAAAGAAAAGCAATGTTATTCTAGACTAAGCACCCATTCATTCTGTGTGTGAAACTTTTTCCAACAATAAAGATTTTTACCTTTTGAGGAAGTCAGAAAAGGTTTCTGATCACTGACTGTGTCCATGTAATTGTTTTCTGTCTGTAGATTATACCAAAAAGTTTCATTATTGCAGCTGAATAATATTGACTGATTAAATGTTTAATAGGGGGAAAAAATCTACCTACCAAAGGTGTAAAAGTATCACTTCCAGAAGGTGTAGGTGATGCCAAGTTCAATTTAGACTGCACAAATAAAGGTTTTAATTTCTGAAAGACACAAAGGTATGTACAGTGCTATCAAATCAAATGAATGTAGACTGTTCTTCATCCCTTAGTTAACCAAGATGGGAAAATTGTGCTCCTAACATTTGCTCAAACATGGCTGGGGCAATTCTTTCTTTTAAACCCATGGACTATACCTTTTCCTTATTCAGGCCATTTTGAGAGAAAATTCAAAAAAAATTTTTTTAACTTAATAATAATTAAAAACAGACAAATTGGTGAGGGAGGATTTGTTGTTTAATAGGTACAGAGTTTTAGTTTTGTAAGGAATGGGGTTTCAGGTGATCTGTTCCACAATAATGCGAATATTCTTTAAATTATGGAACTGTACACTTAAAAATGGCTAAGAAGGTACATTTTATGTTATGTGTATTTCACTACAGATTTTTAAAAAGTCTTGAATAATCCCTTTACAAAAGAAGGTCTAAGAATGGCCAATAAGCACATGAAAAGATGTTCAACAATATTAATTATCAGGGACATACTAGCTAAAACTTCAGTGACATGGTGTTTTTGCATGGCTGAAAATTTAAAAACTGACACTATCAAGTTGGTGCCAATGTGGAGTAAAAAGAACTCTTCGACATTGCTGGTGGGAGAATAAAAAGATACAATTGCTCTGGAATATTGGAAATTTCTTATAAAGTTAAATATACACACTCTTATGTCCCAGCCTGAGAGTTACAAAAACATATTTCCCCAAAATTACTTGTATAAGAATGTTTATAGCCGCTTCCCCTAGCCCCCCCAAAAAACCCCTAATCGGAAACAGCCCAGGTACCCATCAAGAAGAGAATGGGAAAACAAATTGTGGTTTATTCATTCAATAGAATACTATTCAGCGATACAAAGAAACAATGGTCACAGATACACACAATAGCATGGATGAATCTTAAAAGCAATATACTGAGTAAAATAAACCAGACATAAAAGAATACATACTGGCCCTGGCCAGCTTGGCTCAGCAGTTAGAGAGTCAGCTCACAGTTGAGGGTTTGATTACCAGTCACCGGCACATACCTTGGTTGCAGATTGGATCCCTGGCCCCGTCAGAGTCGTGTGGAAGGCAGCCAATCTGTGTGTCTTTCTCACATCGATGATTCTCTCTCTCTCTCTCCTTCCCTCCCTGCTTTTAATGCTATCTAAAAATCAGTGGAAAAGCCCTGGCCAGTTTGGCTCAGCGGTTAGAGCGTCGGCCTGCGGTCCGGAGAGAGCCGGGTTCGGTTCCCGCTAAGGGCATGTACTTCGTTTGCAGTTTGTCCCCGGCCCTGGTTGGTCGTGTGGGTGGCAGCCACTTGATGTGTCCCTTCACGTCGATGTTTCTCTCTCTCTCTCCCTCCCACTCTATCTGTACAAAAAATGGAAAAATATCCTCGGGTGAGGATAAAAAAAAAAAAAATCAGTGGAAAAATATCCCCAGGTGAGGATTAACAACAACAAGAACAAAAATACATACTGTATGATTCTATCTACATAAAATTTAAGAACAGGCAAAACTAACCTGTAGTGATAGAAATTAGAACAATGTTTGTTTGGCATGAGAATCTGGGTAAGCCACTGTCTGCCAAGGGACATGAAATGTTAGGGATGATGGAAATGTTCTATGCTTTCATTTAGGTGATGGCTACACAGGTCATAAGTCTTCAAGTGTTATACTTAATATTTGTTCACTTTATCATATTAAGAAAATATAAACCTTTTCTTTCATAGCATTCATATAATTTAAAGTTTGGTGTTTCCTTATTAATGTCTATCTTTTCTACACTATAGGTCAGGCACTCTTCAAACTGCAAGTAAAACAATTTACAAGACAAACCAGGCAGTGATCTCATGGAATTTAGAGTCTATAAAAGGAGCCATATTTGCCATGCACACTACCTTATTCCTAGCACAGAACATGGCACTTGGTACATATTCATACTCAATAAGTATTTGTGGAGTGGATGAGTGACTAGAATGTGGGGAACCAAGGGAAAATGTTAGTGTACCCACAACCCACTCACTGACACATCACTCTCTTTTCCTCTCTTTCCTATTTTTCTTATATATTTGCTATCCACTCTGATGAGTGTCTCAAGTGCCTGTATACTGTGTGGGTGTATAGTTAAGAATTCAGGATCCTGGAACCCCAGATAAGCAGTGGCACATAGACATAATCTAAAGTAGATGGAGAACCATCCCACCTCCTTAGGAAGATAGATTGTGTGAATATCTAAGAGCAGGGTCAAGATGTTTCTCGAAAGACAGACTGGATCTATTAATGTGTTTTGACTGGTATAATTTTGAGAATTAATTTTTAAATTACGGTTTACATTCAATATTATTTTGTAATAGTTTCAGCTTTAGCATAATGGTTAGACAATCATCTACTTTTTTGTTTGTTTGTTTTGTTTTATGTTTTTATCCTCACCCAAGGACATTTTTTTGCATTTATCTTTAGATAGAGTGGGAGGGAGAGAGGGAGGAAGACAGAGAGAAACATCAATGTGAGAGAGACACATAGAGTTGCTGCCATCCACACAACCCCGACCGGGGCTGGGGACAAACTGCAACCAAGGTACGTGCTCTTAGCGGGAACCAAACCAGGGTCTCTCCAGACCGCAGGCCGATGCTCTAACCTCTGAGCCAAACCAGTCAGGGTGACAATAATCTACTTTACAAAGTGTTCCCCTCATATTTCCAGTACTCACCTGGTACCATGCATGGTTCTCACAATATTATTATTATTATTATTATTATTATTTTTATTTTTATTCTTTATTGATTTTAGAGAGAGACAGGAAGGGATAGGGAGAAAGAAATAGAAACATTGATGAGAGAGAACATCGATTGGCCACTTCCTGCATGTCCCTCACTGGGGATTGGGCCCACAACCTGGGCATGTGCCTTGACTGGGAATCAAACTGGTAACCTCTTGGTGCATGGGTTGATGCTCAACCACTGAACCACACTGGCTGGACCATTATAATATTGTTAACTATGTTCCCTATGCTGTACTTTACATATCCATGGTATAATTTTGAGATTTTAGAAGTCTGTTTCATAAAGCCTAGGCAATTTAATTTTGGACCAGAAAACTTTACCAGATAATCCTAAAACCAGCCTGATTTTGAGTAGCACAGCATTCTTATGGGTCCTCTAATATTTTATTTATCTAACTGATTTAATATCTAAAATGAGGATTATTCTACTTAGAATTTTAAATTTCAGATGAAAAAAGGAAAACAGAGACTACATATATTCTTATCTATGAAGACCAGTTTTGAAACTTTCTAGGAGAGTCAATTATTAAAATCCTTAGCAAGGTTTATATACTACTATATAAACTTATTTAAAAACTAAAATTAATGGTGATGTAGGTAAATGTGGTACTCAGAACCTCCCATAACCACATCAAAATTATAGCTAAAGTACAGAAAATCATAATTTAAAACCACCTGAAATCTAGCTGAATAGAAGACCTGTGACAGGATATAAAGAAAAAACCTACATCAAAACTGGTAGGAGGAGCGAAGACCCAGAATGGGCTGGTCTCATACCCATGTGTAGCAGGTAAAACATCGGGAGGGCTGTGTTGACTGTAGTCCTTCTGAGGAGGGGTCCCAGCTCCACACCAGGCCCCCAAGCCCAGGGATCCAGTGCTGAGAGGAGAAGGCCCCATAAGTGCTGTAAAAACTAGTGGAAACTCTAGCTGAGGGAGAGGAGGGCTGCTGACGTCCCACATGTTCCTCTTAATTGTAACTTTGACATTGTATTATTTTAGTTTTTAAATTTTATTGACTTTTAGAGAGAGACAGAGAGAGCATGCGTGCATGAGAGAGAGAGAGAGAGAGAGAGAGAGAGAGAGAGAGAGACTGATTTGTTGTTTCAATTATTTATGTATTCATTGAATGGTTCTTATATGTTGCCCTGACCAAAGATCAAACAAACCCACAACCTAGGCATATTGGGATAACTCTCTAGTCAACTGAGCTACCCAACCAGGGCCCAGGTGTTCCTCTTACAGGGCTCACATATAAACTTACTCAGACTCACTTCGTCTGAGCTTTAGCACTGGGGCAGCAGCTCAAAAGGTACCAGAGACATATAGGAAGAAACTGAATTGTCTGGCTTCAAGGCAAGGAAAGGAGGGACAGTTTTCTTGCAGAGACCACAGTTTTTTTTCTGAACCCTGCTCTTCACAGAGCTGGCACCATATCTGAGGATCCATTAACCTGGCTACCTCTGTCTGCCCACTCCTGGTGATTCTCTGAGGCCTGGCCCCACCCAACTTGTGGGCTGACCCAAATTATTTCCAGTGGATTTTCCATATAAATGCCCTGTATTGGCTTATTCTTTGGACTTTCCTCAAATCTCTTAAACAAGTAGCATCTAGCCTCCGCATACCCTCTGTACCTCTTGCTAACTAGCCCAAGGCCTGGCCCTAGAGGGAGCCAGCCACAGTTCACAGCTTGGCTTCTCTCAGGTACTTCCAAGTCCAACACAAGTAGCAGCCATCTACAGATCGTCCTGTAGCTTCCACCAGGTGGCCTAGGGCCAGACACAGGCAGTGGCTGACCTTAGCCTACAATTCCTGGGAGGCGCCAGAGCCAGTGGTGAACATAGTAGACAGCTTCAGGCCACACCAGATTACAACCCAACCACCTCCACAAGCCATACACTCAAGGGGTCAACTTGGCAGGCACCAAAGCCTTTCTGAAGTGAGTTCTGGGCTTGGCCTCTGCACAGCTGCTTCTTTGCTATAGTCGAAGGCAGTCCTTCTAACCAATCTGCCTGTGGGTCAGTCCCTACCAGTGATGTGCCAATAGCAATCAAAGCTCAGCTACAACAGGACAGTGCACACAGCCAACACTGGGTGTGGGGAAGGGGGGGAGGGAGGCGCAACAGGAGAACTCAGCTCATGTGACCCAGGAGACTGCCACTGAGCCCTACAGAACCCCTACTACATAAGACTACCCTACCCAGACTGAGAGATGTAGCTGTGCCTAATACATAGAAACAAAGGTAAGCAGCCAAAAATGAGAAGACAAAGAAACAGGTCCTAAATAAAAGAAGAGAAATCTCCAGAAAAAGAGCTAAATGAAATGGAGGCAAGCAAACTACCAGGTACAAAGTTCAAAACAATGGTTATAAGGCTGCTCAATGATTTCAGTGAAAACTTCAACAGCATAACAAAAGACATGGAAACCATAAGAAAGAACCAGTCAGAAATGAAGAATACACTTATTGAAATGAATAATACATTATAGAGAATCAACAGTAGAGTAGATGAAGCAGAGAATCAAGTCAGCAATTTGGAATATCAGGGAGCAGAAAACACCCAATCAGAACAGAAAAAGAAAGTTAAAAAAAAAGAGATTAGTGTAAGGCAGCTCTGGGACAACTTCAAGTATACCAACCTTCGCATCATGGGGGTATTGAAAGGAAAAGAGAGAGAGCAAGAAATTGAAAACCTATTTGAAAAATCAATGACAGAAACCTTCCCTAACCTGGTGAAGATAACAGACGTACAAGTCCAGGAGGTGCAGAGAATCTCAAACAAAATAAACCCAAAGAGGCCCACACCAAGACACATCATAAAGTGCAAAAGGTTGAAGACAAAGAGAGAATCTTAAAAACTGCAAGAGAAAAGCAGTTAGTTTCCTACAGGTGAGCTCCCATAAGACTATAAGCTGATTTCTCAATAGAAGCTTTGCAAATCAGAAGGGAGTGGCAATAAATATTCAAAGTGATAAAAAGCAAGGACCTACAACCCAAATTACTCTACCCAGCAATGCTATAATTTATAATCAAAGGACAGATAACAAGCTTCCCAGACAAGAAAAAGCTAAAGTTGTTTACCACCATCAAACCAGTATTACAAGATGTGTTAAAGGGTCTTTTGAAGAAGCCTAAGAAGGAGGAAGAAGAGGTGGAGGGGGGAGAGAAATCAAATATATGAATAATAATATTGCAATAAATACATATATATCAACAATTACTTTAAATGAAAAGCGATTAAATGCTCCAATGAAAAGATACACAGTAGCTGAATAGAAAACAAAACAAGACCCTTACATATACTGTCTACAAGAGAATCACTTCAAATCAAAAGACCACACAGACTGAAAATAAAAGAATGGAAGAAGATATTTCATGAGTATGAAAACAAATAAACAAAAAAATGTGGTGTAGCAATTTTTACAACACCAAACAAAACAGACTTTAAAACAAAGGCTGTAACAAAACACAAAGAAGGACCCAGCAACTCTACTTCTGGGTATTTATCTGAAGAAACACAAAACACTAAATAAAAAAGTCATATATATCCATATTTTTATTGCAGCATTATTTACAACAGCTAAGATATGGAAGCAACTTAGGTGTCCATCAACAGATGAAAGGATAAAGAAGTTTTCAATGCACATATACAATGGAATATGATTCAGCCATAAAAAAGAATGAAATCTTGCCATCTGCAACAACATGGATGAAGCCAGGGAGTATTATACTTATTGAAATAAATCAGACAGAGAAAGACAAATGTAAGATGATTTCACTTATATGTGAAATCTAAAAAACAAAGTAAATAAACAAACAAAACAAAAACAAGTCTCCTAGATACAGAAAACATTTTGATGGTTGCCAGATGGGAGAGGGTTTGGAGGGATGGGTGAAAAAGGTGAAGGAATTAAGAAGTATAAATTGAAAGTTATAGAATTGTCATGGGGATGTAAAGTATAGCATAGGGAATATAGTAAATAATATTGTAATAATTATATATCCGATGGGTACCAGATTTATTGGAATGATCATTTTCTAAATTATATAGATGTCTAATCACACCATTGTACACCTGAAACTAATGTAATATTGCATGTCAACTGTAATTAAAAAATGAAAAACTCAAATTAATTTAATGCTATCTGGCCAGTGGCCCCAAGTTCTTCGATCTTGTGTAGTCATTTAAGTTTAGAAAATAGTCTTAAAGTGAAAAAAAAAAAAACATTGAGCCCGGCTGGTGTTGCTCAGTGGATTGAACATCATCCCATGGACTGAGAGGTCCTCGTTCCATTCCTGGTCAGGGCACATGCCCAGGTTGTGGACTCGATCTCTGGTTGGGGATACGCAGGAGGCAGCCAATCGACGTTTCTCTTTCACATTGGTATTTCTCTCTCTCTCTCTAAAAAAATCAATAAAAACTTTTTTAAAAAAAATATTGAAAAATTTTAAAAGATAGTGATTTTAGATTGTAAGTCTCTTGAAGCAAGAGATCATATTTATATATATTTTTGTCCTTTCCTAGAAACTTGACTTGTCCCCAGAACACTTAGCATCATCGCATTTATAGCATGGTAATTTAGTTATTATTTGAAATTTATTGAATATATTTCTATGCTGGGCATCATTTACCATTACAATTACAATCCTTAAATGTAATCAGTAAGTAAACAGGTTAAAAATTAGTCTGTTCTAGAATTGGGCTTTATCTACAAGTGACTTCTAGTATGAAAACAAATGGCATGATACTAGGACAGATTCTTTCATCTCCTTTTCCCTGTGGAAATGACTATCTACTCGGATTTTGAGCTTTGATATTTCCCAACATTCCATCCATGCCCACAAATGGTCAGGCTGACATTTACTTCCCAACTACAATGAGTCATCCCTCCTCTGAAATTTTCACTCGCCTCGATTATAGATCAACTATATTGTATTGTAACAATTTGCTTACACATCTGTATCATACAACAGATTGAGCTGTTCGGTTTCAGGCACTCGTTTTATGCCCTCAGTATCTAGCAGAGTGATTGTCACGTACTATCTCCAGAGCTTATTAGGGCAGGGGTTCGGTGAATGTTAAATAGGGACAGAAGGACATGTGCAGATATCAAAGAGACAGATAGCATCTAACCATCATATGTACTTACTATGTAATTGAAGGATGAATCAGCAGGTATTGCACACTGACGGTATAAGGTGTGCCTAGTAAACATCTCATTCTTAAGGACATGAAAGCTGAAATAAGAGAAACAGTATATAGAATATGCAGTAAATTAGAATATATAAAAATCATGGGATAAAGCAAAGCAGTATGACATTCATGTGGTTAGAAAATAGAATTTTTAGTGTAAGAGTAGATATACAAATGAAAATTTTAAAAATATGAGTATGAACTTATTTCTTCTTTCATTTTTAAAATTACATATTTTCCAGCCCTGAAAGACACAGAGGCAACAGTAACCCAGTATCAATGAGTGCCCCGAGGACCCAGGCCATGGTTTTAAAACATTTCTCCCTAAAATGAACCAGGGCATCTTTCAGAAATGGCTGTTTCTAGAACTAAAGCAATAAATGTACAAGATAAGCCTGGGACATTTTATTGTTAAGGGAGTCATCAAAGATTATGTCAAAAAAAACCAAAGTAGTTCATTTTAAAGGGCTCCATTAACTTAAGATTGTAGAAATTAAGTATCAAAAATAGTGATTACCATGTATTGAAGCAAACAAATATATTAAAATTTTAAGCCCTGGCTAATGTGGCTCAGGGTTAGAGCATTGGCCTATGCACTGAAGGGTCATGGGTTCAATTTCTGGTCAAGGCCATGTACCTAGGTTGCAGATTCGATTGCCCAGCCCTGGTCTAGGCATGTGGAAAGTAACCAATTGATGTGTCTCTCTCACATTGATGTTTCTCTCTCTTTCTACCCCTCCGTCCATCTCTTCCACTCTCTCTAAAAGTCAATGGAAAAATATCCTTAGGTGAGGTTAATTTAAAAAAAATTAAGAAATTTTCAGTCTGTCTATATTGGAAATAATGTTAAAATTAGGAGATTCAGCCCGGCTGGTATGGCTCACTGAATTGAGCATCGTCCCAGGCACCAAGAGGTCACAGGTTCGATTCCCAGTTAGGGCACATGCCGGGTATGGGGCTTAATCCCCAGTAGGATGCGTGCAGGAGGCAGCCAATTGATGTTTCTCTCTCATGGATATTTCTCTCTCTCTTCCTTCATCTCACTCTAAAATATCAATAAAAAAAGCATATAAAAAATTAGGATGTTCACTATCAGGAAAACATGCTCTGCAGAGAAAGACAAGAATAAGCTAAACAGCCTTTGGCTAGCAAGTAGGAAGAAAAAATTACAGTATTTACTCACGTACGGAACTCTTAGAAGAGATTAGGTTTGTGATTCATGGATCAAAACCACAATGAGGTACCACTCACTACATAGCTATAAAGATGACTACAACCAAGAAGGCAGACAATGCCAAATGTTGAAAAGGACAGAGAGAAATTGGAATCCTTATTTATTGTGGAATTATAAAATGGTGCAGCCACTATGGAAAAACAGTTTGGTAGTTCCTTAAAATGGTAAACATAGAATTATCATGTGACCTATCAATTTCTTCCTATGTGTATACACAAGAAAATTTACAAATATGTTCACACTAAAATTTGTACATGGATGTTAATAGCAGCATCATTCATAGTAGCCAAAAAGTAGAAATAGCTCAGGAGGTGTGGCTCAGTGGATTGAGCATTGTCCCATGGACTGAGAGATCCCAGTTTCATTCCTGGTCAGGGCACATGCCCAGGTTTTGGGTTTGATCCCCTCCTGCATGGAGGGTGTGCAGAAGGCAGCCGATAGATTTCTCTCTTTCTCTCTCTCTCTCTGTTCATCTCTCACTAAAAAAAAAAAAAAAAAAAAAAAAAATCAATAAAAACATATTTAAAAATGCACACGCACACACAAAATAAAAAGTGGAAATAATTCAAAAGTCTAATAAATAAAGAATGGATAAAAATGTGGTAATGTCATACAATGAAATATTATTTGACAGTCAAAAGTAACAAAGTACTGATGTATTCTACAACATAGATAAACTTAAAAACATGCCAAGTAAAAAAAGCTAGTCAGCCCTGGCCAGTTTGGCGCAGTGGTTAGAGCATCGGCCTGCAGTCCAGAGAGACCCGGGTTTGGTTCCCGCTAAGGGCGCGTACCTGGGTTGCGGTTTGTCCCCGGCCCTGGTTAGGTTGTGTGGGTGGCAGCCACTTGATATATCCCTTTCACGCTGATGTTTCTCTCTCTCTCTTCCTCTCCCTCCCTCCCATTCTAGCTGAACAAAAAATGGAAAAATGTCCTCAGGTAAGGAAAAAAAGGAAAAGAAAAGCTAGTCACTAAAGTCCAAATATCTTATGATTCCACACTTATGAAATGTCCAGAATAGGCAAATGCTTAGCAACAAAACTAGATTAGTATTTGTGGTTGAGAGAATGGGGAACGGAAGGCAACTGCTAACAGGTGTGGGGTTCCTTTTTGAGTTAATGAAAATGTTCTGATTTAGAGAGTAGTAATAGTTGCTCAACTCTGAATATACTAAAATCTACACTTTAAAAAGGTGATTTTATGTAATGTAAACTGTATATCAATAAAGTTGTTGTACAGTGTGAAAACCTATGAATAAAGAAGAAAAAATAAGAGACTTTAATATCACTATAATAAAGATATAAAGGAAAATAGAGAAAAAGGTGAGAAAATAGACAAAAAGATGGAGAATTTCAACAGAGAAATGGAATCTATATAAAAAAAGAATATCCATCTTAGAACTGAAAACACCATATATGATATTAAGAACTCCATAAATTGGCTAAATAGCAGAATAGATATAGCAAAACAAAGATCTCAAGAGCAGATCAATTTTAAAATATACAAAATGAAGCACAGTGAGAAAATAAAAGGCAAGTGCATAAGAGACACGTGGGAACAGTCAAAAGGAACAACGTGAATATAACTAGAATCCTAGAAAAGGAGAGAATGAGGCTGATGTAATATATGGGAAGATAATAGCCAAGAATATTCCAAAATTCAGGAAAGACATTAACCCACAGATTTAAAAGTCAGACAGGATAAATAAAAGGAACTATACCTAGACACCTCATAATAAACCAATGAAAACCAAAGACAAAGAGAAATTCTTAAAACACCCAGACGTGGAAAAACACATTACCTTAAAGAAGCACAAGACTGACTACTGACTTCTCATTATCAACAATGGTGACCAGTATTTCATGAACTGGCACCATGAACATGTCAAAACAAATAACTGCCAATACAGAAGTCTATACTCAGAAAATATTTTTCTGCAATAAAGGTAAAACAAAGACATCTTCCTATAAAGAAAAGCTGACAGCATTATTTGCCAACAAACCGATAGTAACAGAAAAACTAAAGAGCTGTTCAGACAGGGCGAAAATGATACTAGATGGAAACACATTAAAAGTATAAACAAATGGAGAGCTCAATAAAGAGTAAAATAGAGTCAATAAGTGAATACTGACTATGCCAAACGATAATCATAATGTCCAATAAAGTAAAAATGTATATGATATTAAACAAAAAATGTGAGAGGTTGAATGGAGTTAAAATAGTCTAAGGTTCTAGAATTCTTGGGGAAGGGGTATCAAATAGAGATTTGTATAAGATTGTGATATGCGAAGGATGTAAGTTGAACTTTTAAAAAGAGAAAAGAATAAATAACAAGTTAATCGAAGAAAACACGGAATAAAAATAAGTGATTGATCCAAAAGAAGAGAAAAAAATCAGGTTAGCTAAATAGAAAACAATGTGTTAATTGGTAGATGTAAACCTAATGATATCAGTAATTTCACTAAATGTAAATGAATTAAGTATGCCAATAAAATAAATAAGACTAGCAAAATAGTTATCTAAATTTTAACTGTGCAGTTTACAAGAGACATATTGAAATATAAAAAATAAGAAAGGTTGATTTTAAAAATCTGGAGAAAAATGCACCATGCAACCTTAACCAAAGGAGGGTAATATAGTTATATTAATATTAGATGATGAAGACATTAAGCCAAGAAACATTATTAGAGATAAAGAGGAATATCTCACAATGACACATATGAATGATAACTTCACAAGAAGATATCAGAATTCTAAATCTGTAGGTATCTAGCAACATAGCTATAAATTATTTAAAGCAAAAATTGATAAAACTAAAAGGAGAAATAAATCTATAAGCATAGTGAAAAATGTAATACTCCTCTGTCAGTAGTTCCAACTGCAGCAAAAAAAATCAGTAAATATATAAAAGACATAAATGACACAGAAAATAAAGTTGATGTAATTGAAATATATAGAATACTGCACTTAACAATGATAGACTTTCTATGTTTTTGTTTAAGTGTACATGGGACATTTTTTAAAATCAACCATATATTGAGCCATAAAACAAGCATCAGAGAATTTTAACAGATTAAAATAATTCAGAGTACAGTAGTATTAAACCAGAAATATAACTAGAAAATTTTACCTGGGAATGAAATATATCACTTCTAAATAACCCATGGATGAAAGAAGAAATCAAATGGAATTTAGAAAATATTTTATACTGAGTGATAATAAATATAGAACATGTCACAATTTGTGGGATGCAACTCAAGTAGTGCTTAAAGGAATATGGCTCATCTTAACTGTACATATTTGAAGAAAAAAAATCTGAAAATCAGTGATCTAAGCTTCCTTCTCAATAAGCTTGTAAAAGGACAGCAAATCAAGCATGAACTAGAAAGAGGAAAATAATAAAGATGACAGCAGAAGTCAGTGAAAGGAAGACAAACATATGACAGAAACTCAACAAAGACAAAATTATTTCTTTGAAATAGGTAATAAAACTGATCAACTAATTATTAACAAGATTGATCAATAAAAGAGAAAGCACAAATTATCAATATCAGAAACTAAAAAAGGGAAAAAATAGATGAGCTCTTAAACTAATCACAAATACACAGAAACGGGTTTGAGCGTATCCTGCAGGCGAGCCGAGTTGAGGGTAGAGATGCGCGTGGCTGTCTGCCGTGAGTCGGTGATGAGCACTCCACAGAGCATCAGGGACATCCATCCTGACAGCCTCATACATTTTGTGTGGCCAACAGTTAAAAAAAAAATCAAAAGAGAAACATCACTCTATCTTACAGATAATTTAAGTATATG